TTTAAAAGTCAGACAAAATGATTTTCTCAAATTTTTTTTCACATTTTGTCTCTCATAGTTGAGGTCTACCTACAGGCCTCTCTCATCTTTTTAAGTGGGAGAACTTGCACAATTGGTGACTGACTAAATACTTATTTTCCCCACTGTAGCACCAAGGTGCAGTGTCTTTAAAGGAAACAGCATTTTACACAGAGCCATATCTGCTGTTCTGTGACTGGGTTACAACAGGAAGAACATRTCCTGATGCATCTCCAGGAAGAAAAGATCACAAAAGTTGCTCAGTTTATCCTTTTGAAATTTCAGCTTTTGACTCTCACTGACATAATGATTGGTGYCACAAGTGAAGTGTGTGTGTGTCTGCATGTTTTACATACAGCATTTAATAAGGCTTCAGGGCTTCTCTCCGTCTGTTCAGCAGCAGCAGCAGCGACAGCCCTGGAGATGGCCCTTTCTGTGTCCTCCTGCAGGTGCTTGTAGTAGTTTGTAGGTGAGTGCTGCTCCATGTACTCTGGATCCTGCTGGGGCACTGCAGAAAGGAAGAAAAAGCAGAAGGAAGCAGAAAAGCAGGAGTTTTATTAAGACACAACAGAAGAGTTCTCATGGTATTGTGACCATACGCATGTCATTTAGCAATCAACAGAAAAACATCAGTCCTGTTTAATTACAAACAAAGTTCCCATTTATACAATGTAGTTCAGTCTTACTTTACTATTTAATAAAGCCACATACTAACAAAGATGGAAATGCAAGTATTTAAAGGGGCTATATCATGTAAAATCAACTTTTTTGAGTTTTATATCATGTTGTAATGTTATACTCTCATAAAAAATGCGCCCAAAGTCTTACTTTGACTCATTCATGCATGTTTGAGAAATTCTGTAGTGCACTGAGGCAGAGGGCAGGGGGAGCAAAAACAACAGGTTGGGACCAGAAACGCCTCTGGGCTGTGTCTCCAAGCCGAACTTCCTCATCATGGAACACATCTCCCCACCCCCCACCCCACACACCCCGCCCATGGCTCCTGCAGGCTCTCGACAGTAACAAAGCAAACAACGGGTGAAACTGAAAGTGAAACAGAAACTGTCTGCTGAGCTCCTAACACAAATTCTCACTCAGTGAAGCTCTTTTCAGATTCAAAGTACCTTTGAGGAAATGTATTTTCAGATGCCAAGTAAAGTGCATCATAGCGCACGCGCAAACCCCCCACCCCAGCCGCACTGAAATGGGCGGGACAGAAGCGGAAGGTGATTCTTAAAGAGACAGAGGCCAATTTCAATGCGTTTAGAAGAGGAATACCCTATATGCCACGGTCATTAATGACTTATGTCCAGTAAAATTTTTGCCACGCTCCTTCCTTCCACTCCCTGCTTACTGCCTATGTTTTTAGCGTTAGCTGCTACTACTAGTCCATGAAAAAGTCACAAAAGTTAAAGCATCTGTGAGCTACTAGTATAAAATATGAGTTCTGTTGTGTGTCGTGTCAACTAAACAGCAGGTACGATAGAGTAGTTAGTTTTTATCCTTTTTCCTTTAGATGAGGAGGTGACAGCTGTGGAT